CCCCCATTGGCCCCCCCCCACCCCCCCCCCACACACACCTTCACCCCTACCCTCTACCTAAATGCAGATTGCACAGTCATGCATCTCAACATAAAAATTACACTGATGAACACAGCAACTAGAACTCACCAATCAGCGAGCAGTATGTTTGTTAGAATTATGCTCTCTACAGCTTAGTAGTTCTCTTAGAACTTATAAAATAAATTAACCTCTAAAGTGCCATTTTATTTACATTACTCGTCAACTCCTGGTGAAATCCCCGTGTCTGGTCTTCCTGCCATATTTCACAGCAACAGGACATTATTTTAAATTATAGCATCTGGCATAATATTCATTAAGAACAGCCAACTAAGAACCAGTTTACCAAAACACGAGAACAAATATTCCCCAAACCCATTACACAGATTTCCTTCCCACAGCAAATCTTATTATTAAAAGTTGAAAGAGAGGCCCTTTTTTATTCAAGCAAACAGTGATGTCCCCTCAAAGATGAGACTTGATGGGTCTGCATATCTTCACATGTATAGTAAAACATACTTACAGCACTTTAAAGCTTTCTAAGATTTACAGAAACTTTAACTTTGCCCTTCAGTCTCAGCAGTTTCCACGATTTACAAAATTTCTTTGGCACAGCTTCAATTAAACTGACATTTGGTGCAGTAAAATCCCTAACCTCACAGACTTGGCCTCTTTTGATCCAAAATGTCCATTTAGTGGTCAAATAGTATTTAGCCACTTATAAGAAGTCATGTTGTTCATTTGGATCTCTTCAAAATCAGAATTTGGCTGCATGAAGGTCAAGGGCCGACCATATGAAGGTCAGAGGTCATGTGCATGAAGGTCAAGGGTCAACTGCATGAAGGTCAGAGGTCATCCAGGCCAAGTTCATCATCGTCATCATCCCAGTCTGTGACACTGACCAGTGAGCTCTTTCCTGTCCCCCCTGGGTTCACTGTGCTAGCAGCTGGAAATATAGAACATTGTGTTGAGTGAGATCTTGTTGCAATTGTGTTAGGTGAGTTCTTGTCACAATTGTGTTGGGTGAGATCTTGTCACAATTGTGTTGGGTGAGATCTTGTCATAACTGTGTCAGTGGAGAATAAAAATCACAATTATGTAACATAAATAATTTTTAATAAATATATTATCATAAATACTAAACTTTCTTTGTGGCAGTACACATAAAGTGATACATTCCTATCTAATAAACTGTTATGTTATGAAAACTAAATCACATTTTCAATAACACTAAAACAAAACAAAACATAAATCATCAAAAGAAAATAAAAAAGACACCCTAGATTGTTAAAATAACAATAATAATGATAAAGAGTGCACGGAAAAGGCTGACAGACAAGAGGGTTTGAACACAATTTTGACATTCACTCAACATAAATAACTTGTGTCAGAGATGGAATAATTCAACTATACTATACAGAATTGTGGTACTCCAAAGGGTAAGGTTATGAATTAATTCTGCATTGTTATATAAATAAAATATATTGGTTGTGGGTCAATAAACAAAATGTTCTGTTCATGGTTCAAAAACCAAGGTGATGTTATTGTTTAATAATAATAAAAAACAACTTTTTGGGTTACAAATCATATAAAAGACAGTCCTCAAACTTTATTCAACACAGCACTGCTGGTTGATATTCTATAAACAAAATCTGTTACTGTCAGACAAACAAAACTCTCTGGGTTATGGTGTAAATCATAATTCTTCCCACTATTATCAACACATCACAGCTAGTGGAGTTTTCTACCTGTTCCCGAGTTATCAGTTTCAGAGGCCCCAGATTCTCTCAATGGAACTGATGACGCTGCTGCAATACAGATATGCCTGGCGTATTTCATTGCGATATACGTAAACTAAATCAAGTCCCCATACATTAGTCTTGGAAATTTTAACTCGGAATTCATATCGAGTCTTTTATCACGTCAACCATCATGATGGGGTAATATATTTATGTCCCTAAACTGTCAACTACAACCCCCCCCTAACCCCCACACACACACATTATTTCACTGGCTCCCTCTATATCACACACTGGCTCCCCCTATATCACACACTGGCTCCCTCTATATCTCACACTGGCTCCCTTAACATCTCACACTGGCTCCCTCTATATCTCACATTGGCTCCCTCTATACCTCACACTGGCTCCCTCTACATCTCACACTGGCTCCCTCTATATCTCACACTGGCTCCCCCTATATCTCACCTTTTGAAGAAGAGCCGCCCCAAACACTGGTTCCATATGTGTTGGTTGAGAAGTCAGTATCTCCATGAGTGCTCAGTTTGCCAGGTTTTCTGGTAGAAAAATACAGTAAAATAATAATTACAGTGAAAATCTTTTTTTTTCTTAATTTTTGAATTACAAAAGAAAAAAAATCCCTGTGTGCGCACTCTAAACCATACAGGTATATAACAAATTTTACTCAACATACTGAACGGAAATTTATTCTTTAAAATTGTACTTCACATTCAGCTGGATGACGGCATTTCTGTTCCTTTCATTGGAATACAGTCATGTACTTTTGGTTTATGAAGCCCTGTGCATACACTTACTTTTGTTTGGCTTTAGTTTCCTGCGGTGACTCTCCCAGTGAGGAAGAGATAGAAAATGTATCCCCACTCTCCTCTCCATCCTCCATCTGGAGAAAAATATCACCATATAATAATAATAATAATAATAATAATAATAATAATAATAATAATAATAATAATTTACATGGATCAAAAATTTATATGGTGCGTTCCATTAAAATCTCAATGTACCTTGCAGATTAAGAGATACAGAAAATTTACAAATTGCTTATCAAGAGTCTAAAGTCCATCAGACTTGAAGTAAATGCAGCAGGGCATGAAAATTACTTATGTCTTTGCAGCAGTCAATTATTACAAAACAAGTAAAGATACTCCACATTATAACAAATACATAGGTGGTGATATATCTAATGTTATCATGAAATAACTTAATTCACCAGTGTCTATACTACCAAAAGGTTGTTTACTTTGCTTTATGCCATAAACAATTTGAACAGAATTCAGCTTCTTTTTTAAAATTAATTAGGAACAGTGTGTCTTAATACATGCTGACATACAGATATGCATTCTTCATGTTAGTTAATTCATAATATTACTATCAGTGTCCAGTCAAGGCATCTGTCAGTGACATTAATATGTTTTGGATTGATAAGATGAAAATATTTTCTCCACTCTACATCCAAAACACACTCACATTCAAGGACATGCTTTGAAAATTTGGAATATATTTTTAGACTAGAAGCTGATTTTTTCCCAGTCAAAATAAAAATTAAGCCTGTGAAAAGCAGAAAATGGTTAACACATTACGAACCATTTTTCATTTTTTCTTTTCTTTTGGCATATCAAATCATCTCCTGCATCTGCAGATGAATATTCATTTACAAACAGCTTCAATAGCTAAACCTGCATCTGTATTAGTCTGTATTCAGGCAGTGTCAACCTGACCCAACACACCTGTGGTATATCTGGCGTTACAGGACTGCTGACATCTCGCGCTGTGGGTACCTCTAGCTCATTACCACCACCGCCACCACCACCAGTGACACCACCACCACTTACATTAAGATCCACAGCACCGGCCGGCTTCTTTGCTTTACGCCCCTATAATAATTATAAGCCTGAGTCATGCAGGGGATCGTGCAGAGTGGTTAGAATAGGAGGGGTAAATTTCTTAAATTTAAAAAAAAAAAAAAAAAAAAAAAAAAAAAAACGTGCAGATGTTTTTTAAATTATTGCATTGGTTATAAAATTGAATTTTTTCAGTTGATGTAACCGTGTTTTCACCACCACCAATGCTGAATGAGTAAATTAATGAAAGATGGAGGGAACAAACAAACAAAAAGCACAATCAGTTGAATTATTTAGGTTGAAAAATGAATACAGGCAAAAGAAAAAAAAGAAAGTAAAAAGCCAGCACTTACAGACAGCTGTGACTCTATGGACCTGGCTAGGTTGGCCACTATACTGCCCTTGGGCTGTGGGGCTTGGCCTGTCTTGGCTGGGGAGCTGCCTGTCTTGGCCGGTGTCCCCCTCACATGGCTGGGGCTGATCTCATCCAGGTCACTGAATGAAGCACCAAATATTACTCAACAACAAGAGCTTCTGTCAAATGTGACAAATTATTCAACATGGATTATTGTCAAAAAACAAGGGTCTTCAAATGCTTTTTCTACTCACGGTGGCCACAAAATTGGTTGAAGTTTTTTTAATAATGGCTGTTTATTTTCTTCTTTGCTCAAGTCCAAACTATACCTGATTTCATCAGAGTCCCAGTCATCATCCTCATCTATCACTTCAGGGGGAGGGACTTGCTGACCTTTGACCTGACCTTGACCTCCTATTGGCCTCTGACTAGGCTTAATGTCCTCATCTTCATCCTCTGACTCTTCATCCTCTGAGATTTCGTCAGAGTCCCACTTGCTGCTAGCGGCCTGCTGGGACCTGTTGATTACAAAAGTCAAGTCAACAATGCATCAGAGTTATCTGCTGATTTTATTCACAAGTTCAAGCAACTGCCACAATTTTACATCAGGCTGCTGCCATATTTAGTACAACCTCATGTCATCACACATATAGTATCTATTTATCTTAAACCAGACTTTTAAAACAGATGCCTAATCAAGGAGCCACAGATGGGAAAGTGATCCTATTCTTATAACATCTGTTGGCATATTTCAAAGCCATAAAATTATATTATAGCTATAGTTGAAGGGTAAGTTTGTCTTCCATCAGTTTCAATAACTACAAAATCAGACAAAAACGAGCTGTTGTAGACTTAAAATTTACTACTGTACTCACCCAGTGGAAGACAGAGTATTGGAGGCATTCAGGGAGGGTTTGGTGGGGCTGGGGGTCCTGGGGGCTGGTTTGGGGGGCTGCTTCCCGCTCACATTGGTCTGATGCCTCGGCTTTTGTTGTTTCTGCGGTGTGGACTGAGCGCCTCCGCGGCTTTTCTTTGGTATTGGTGTGGCATAGACTGGCTCTGCTGGACGCTTGACGGGGCTGGCATCGTCGCCTGATAATGAAGAGAAATTATATATATGAATGATTAAACTTTGTTTCATTAATGAATGATTAAAAAACTACAAGTTAATTTCAAACTCATAGCTGACACAGATGGTGAAATGTTGTCAGATGGCTACAATTTGTTAATTTAAAATGAAAATTTACTTTAAAAAGCTCACTCAATCATCTTGACATTAAAAGCAAAATTCTGCAAAGAGTGAATGTTCTTTACCTTTTCTTCTTATTTCACAATAAACCTACACGTTTAAGTTACCTCAAAGTAACAGTGAAAAGTAAAATATTCTCTTAATCCTTAGTTTTTGTACCCTCTCTACAACCTCTTATTTCTATCAGAGATGAAAGTAGACCTTTAAAAAATATTGAAAATTCCAGCTCTGAAGGTCTATATGAGGGTCCTGGCTGCAATATAACACACAAATGTCCTCCTTTTACCCTATCCACTTAATGGTCACTAAAGCATATTTGTCAATTTATTTTCTCCTCTATCTTCAACCTTCTCAGGTGAAAGGAGCATGTTTAATCAGGTATATTTGTCCGTCTATTTTGTCAGATTCTCACCTCCAGATCTGGCTCCTTTCCTTCCCCCTCTCAGCCTCTCTTTGGCCATGTCATCAACTTTGTTGATATATTGCTGCCTTATGTCATAGAAAGTGGGGTATTTCTGAAGCATAAAGATAGCTTATAATTAAATACAAGTGTAATGCAATCTATGTTTTACAGTATTCATAGTACAACACTGAAAAAAGTAAACTTTACCTTAGAGTGAGTAGTATGTGGGATATAAAAAAATCTTTAGACCAACATAAGTTTTAGCTTTAAATTAACAAATTTTGAATGGCTGTTTCAAAATTATTCATTTTTTTTTTTTTAGATATTGTAAAACATATACAAATCAGTATCTCTGCTAATTCTCTTTGAAATGTCAATTATTGGAATTAATTTTGAAATTATAATTTTTTCTATGATTGTGCCACTTTAATTAAAAGGTCCTTAATAGCAATATTATTATAAACTTAAGTAAGACACAAAATGTGAACATGTTAAACACAATTGTAATACAACAGTGAAAATCAGCAAGTGTTTAAATCCAACAAATAATTGTAAAGTCAAATAGAAAAAAAAAAAAATCAGATAACTTCCAACATTTCCCCTCTTTATATACCTTTCTTTTGCTGACAATTCTACTGCGATCTATAAACTACAAATATTAAATGTACTTACACATTAAAACAAGAAGATTCTGAAACTGAAGCTCATTAACAGAAGGCACATTCATGGTGAGAAATGCAAAAACCAATTTTCTTATCCAATTTAATCCACTTCCTTTCAATCAAAACATCTCCTGTATAGTGGTCAGGTAGTTTAGTGCTGTATTGGTGACTATCTGACCTACGACATCAATTAAAACTGTACAAGAACTGGTTCATGTTCTTCAATGTCAAAACACCTATGACAGGCAAATGGGAAAAACAACCACCAAGAAGAACATTTACCTTTGCTTTTTGCTGCCTTTCATTTTTTAACATCCCCATCTTGCTGTTATACTGAGCATTACTAATACCTTGGGCATTCTACAACAGAAAATAACACCATTTTATCATACTGGTTTAAAACAAACGTAAGGAAAATTAACTGATCACTAATTTTAAAGGTTATGTATTATCCTTTTTTTTTAAATAAATAAAAATTTAAGCTCAAGTGTAGGCTCTTCCTACAATGAACCAAACAAGGATTTAGGTTTTTCCCGTTCTCTTGAGTAATGACAGTAAGAAAGTGTTAAAGATGATCGTGTCATAGAAAAATACTTAGTGCCTTCAGAATGTGCTATTGTTCTGAGTAATATCAGAAACACTGAAACAGTAAATACAATCATCTTGTTCATCTTTGTTAAACATGATGTAACTAGACAGACCACGCTGATATAAACGAAAAAAAAAAAATAGTGGTCAACTGTTAGTCAAGAATAGGTTCTGTAACAAAAAATAAATAAATAAATAAATAAAAAAATAAATTTATTTACAGGTGATATGCCTCTCTTTTCCAGCTCCTCATCCAGCAGGTGTCTCAACTCTTCTTTCATCGGCCCCAAGATGGCGGGATTCTTCACCAGCTCTCTCTTCAGCCGCTTCAGACTGGTGCCGGTCATAGTGAGGTCACCACTGGTGCTACTGCCAAACAGATAGAATGTTATCAAATGTTTCTTTTCTTTTTGTTGGTTTATTATGGGAGAATACTATGATATGAAATACTAGGTGTCATTACAGACGCAGTTTATACACACAAAGCTGGGGGGGGGGGGAGATAAAAAATGCAGCCTCCCTCCTTAATCTGCCTTGACAGCTTGATAACTCTGAATACTGTCAATGTTCACATGAATAATATTCTTCTTATCACGTCAGTTTTACATATGCCATTATGACAGTAAAGATTCCACAAAAAAAAAAAAAAAAATGACCGTCAGTAGTTAGCACTTACCCTAGTGTGTCCTTACTGCTGGCTCCCAAGTCTGACACTTTCAGATCTGGTAAAGAGAGGGAACTGTGTTGTTAAAATGAAGGATTAGTTATATAAATCGAGGGGAGGATTATCTGCAGTGTCCACATGAAACATGTCCAACTTCTCTTTAAAACCAACACATTCATTGTATGCTTTATGATATATTATATTATTAAACCTAGCCATTTAACTGTCATGTTTTATTATTTAAAGATAATCATTGTCTCAGAAGCCAGAAGTCAAATCAAGTAACACCCTGAGTTTCAGATACAAGAGAGGTCAGCACCTTCATTTTCAAATGTCCACATATGAGACAGAATTTGCAATCAGGGTAATAAATACTGACCTCGTCTTTTATTTCTGCATTTCATGGTACCTGACTTTATCCAGGTCACATTACCTGAGCTCTCTTCTGTCTCCGTCTCATCCTCTTCCTCCTCCTCAGTGGCAGGTGTCTCCATTATCTGTGGCACAGGTGCTCTCTTATTGGAGCTCTTAGACGGGCTCCCTGCACGCTCTGCAGCTGGGGGCTTTCTGGGAGCCACAGTGGGCTATACAAGAATAACCAAATAATATATGGATTAAGTGTGGTAACAAGTATAAGGGCTCTCAAATGCAGACTGATTTATGACATCAAGATCAGGATTTTATTGCTGCATCTACAGGAAGATAGAGACAATCAATTCCAGACTGTCTCGTGATCTCCATTTCGTAATAATTTTTACAGCAACAAGAAGACAGAAATTAAGCCCTGCACTTACAGATCTACTAGTATCTCCTACAAAAATCTCCTACTACAAGAACACGACATTGGAACACAGACTTACAGGTCTACTGGCCAGCTGCTCTATTTCCTGCTGCTGTCTCTGGATTTCCTTCTCTCTCTGTTTGAGAAGTCTGTCCTTCTCCTTCTGGGCCTGCTTCATCTCTCTGGATTGCTGGAAGGATTGAGAGATTAAATCAGACACATAGCTACACAGAAGAAATTTTCCTGGTTATATTCATGTTGGCAAAGTTTTTTTTTTCAAAAAATTTTGTGATTCATTAAATTATTGCTCTTTTACCTTATTTTAACCCCCCACCCCCCCCCAAAAAAAAAAAAAATCAACAAGAATTACATAAAATACACAGTATAACAGAGTACAAACATTCCACCACGCACATATAATAACATTATGATCTCACACACTTACATTCCTAAGCTCTGTGATCTCTTTCTGATAGCTATTCATATCCTGGCCCTTGGACTCGNACCCCCCCCCCCCCCAAAAAAAAAAAATCAACAAGAATTACATAAAATACACAGTATAACAGAGTACAAACATTCCACCACGCACATATAATAACATTATGATCTCACACACTTACATTCCTAAGCTCTGTGATCTCTTTCTGATAGCTATTCATATCCTGGCCCTTGGACTCCCGCTCTCGACTCAGGTCCGTCTCTACGTCACGTAGCTGTCCTCGCAGCTAAAACATAAGTAACGCAATGTCACAATATTATATTATGTTTACATCTGTATCTTTTCTGTCCTCTTGAACAGCAGGCTACAGGCTGAGGCATATACAGTGATAACGTCTGACAGATATAAAACGGTTTCGTTTAAGCAGATGAGAACATTAATTTCATATTTAGAATGACTGAATATTACAGTATTATAAATGATAATGAAGAGTAGTATTTCAAAGGAAATTGCAGTGGAAAGAAAAGAAGATTATTTACTAACATCATCATGTATCAAATACTTAGAATAAGTGAGAAATGATAGATAAACAAAACAATATGCCAATGTATTTTTTTTTTTTTTATTTTTACCATATACCACTGAAAACTACCACCAAAGACTGCTGGTTACATGAACCAAAGAAGAAAAAAAAAATCCCAATACCAGATTGCTCCTTTACCATGGGATGCTTTTTCCTGACACATCACCAAACTAACTAATTTTAATAAACATGTACATGTATATATATTTAATGTGGTACAATATGGCCACTAGTGATCTAACAGCATGTTGTAATACATCAGTCATTACCTAGTAAGATCCGTTTTAGAATATGTGCTCTGGGTGGGGACTGGGGCATTTAAGTGGAACAATGTGAGTCTGGCCATAAAAGGGTTCGATTCAGAATGTCCCAAGGTATAAGTTCTTATGGTGTCCTTTTTTGCCCAAAACCCAGTTGAGGGGGAGGGGAGATAAACCTTAAACAGATCCATTTTCAAAGGTCATTCTTTTCAGGTGACCATCTACCTTTTTTTAGTTTGAACTGAATGGTGCAGTGGGTGGTGGGGTTTGAAGGTTAAATAAAGGTTGAATAAATACAACTATGCCCATATCAAAACCGTTCAAGAAACACCATTTCTAATATTTATCAGCTAATGCAAGTTCACATCTGCTCATGCTAATTATTTTTATTTAACAAATTTCTATGTATTCTTAACATTTATTTCACAAATAATTTACAGCTGAAGTTTTCAACATGCTTGCATTCTTCTAGCATGACACCGGCATACACCATGCAACTTCCACTTCCACTGGTTCAAGAATTCAAACTAAAATCATACTTTTTAACCATTCTGACATAACATCCAACTTTGAACTTTTTTTTAAACATCAAAAAGTCTTGAAGTATGAACCTATTCAAACATGCTTTTTGACTTAAAATGTAATAAAATACACTTATAAGAAAAAAAACAACATTTATGTTTTTTATAGGGAGGGTTGACTGAAAGGAAATAATTAAGGAATCATAATTTTTTATTCACCAAACACCAAGTTAAGCCCTGGTTTACCATCCTCCATAAAAATAAATAAATAAATAAATAAATAAATAAATAAATAAATAAATATCCAGTAGACCCGGTCCTATTTTCTCCACCAGATGGAGCCAGTTACCTGATGTACTTTACGCTGCTTATCTCGAGCGTTTTCCAGTCTCTTTAGTAGCTTGGAGGATAAAAGTCAAGTTTATTTCACACAAAAAAATAGCAAGAACAAAGTGGAAATCAGACTAAAATAGCCTCTCTTTTTTTTTTTTGCTTCTGCGTTATCATCTCTTATTAGCAGAAATAATGTGAAAGAGATATCTATATCAAGAAATGTTTAAAGACTTTGAAGGTAACATGAAGGGGCAAACAGGTTTAGCATTAATTTAGTGACTTTTATGTGTTGATAAAATATATTGCTGCCTGCAGAAATTTTGAAAATAAAAGGATTATGCAATCATGTTTCAGCCTTCAAGTTACCTATCTCTTCTCTGTGAAGATGAAAGAATGAGTTCAATAATAAAGCAGTAATAATTACTGCCAACAGCAGATACAGAATGGTGCAAGAGTTACAGTTTGCAATTGGTGAGTTAAACAGCTGCGTCTTCTAAGGCAAAAGATATTCAAAGTCTAGAAGCTCTAATATTAGAATTGACACAGAGACACTTCTGAAAGCTTACGCTGATCTAATGAAGCTACTATGAAAAATGTTGGTGGCAGTGCACAATGTCAGAATAAGAGCTTGAAGATATGATTTTTCGATACAATTTTTGACATTTTGAAAGTGGACAGTGGTACCTTTTCAACTTTCTTCTCCTTCACTCCTTCCTTCCTTACCTGTTTAATCTTCTCTTTGTATTGTCTTTCATATTCTGCCCTCTCCGTTGCTGCCTTCTCTTCTCTCTGCCTGTCCCTATTTTTGAACTGTTCAAGCTGAAAATAAAATGACTTAAAAATAAAAATATTCAAAGCAACTGAAAGCAAATATGATAAATTTGGCAACAGTGTTGTATGGCACATGAAAGGTTTGAGCCACAGTTTAACAGCCCATTCTCATAGATTAGATCGACCTACATTGGATCGACCTAACTCCCTGGGGGTTCACGCTAAATGGCTGTCAGCCGGGCGGACACGAAAGTTAATTACCCCTTATAGCTTGTAGTAGGCGGGGACGGACACTTAAGGCGGATTATCTGACAGTAATCTAGTGAGACTCCCCGCGGTGATAGATCGATCTAAAAGTTGTGAGAACAGAGCCTAAGTTTTTAGTGATTCTATTTGTTAGATATTACTCAACCCACATAAGAAAATGTGCAGTTTTTTATTCTTACACCTATAATACGTGACAATGTGACATCTGAAACTGTACAAAAAATATTAATGTTGGATATGGTATCACCTTCTCACTATCCATGTTATCCTTACATTCACTTAAATTCATTTCACAAAACTTTTACCTCCTCCTCTCGTTTTGCCTCATTCTCTCGTAACTCCTTCCTCAGATTTTCTATCTCTTCCTCATCGTACATTGTCCCAAGATTGGAAGGTTTGCTACGCTGGGAAGCTAAAATCCAGATAATTTACTAATACAGAAGTGTTGTAGAAGCAGTTAACTAAAACACACCCTCTCTGTTGTTTAAAACAATTATCATGCTGTCCCACTGCATCCCAATAACGTAACTTTACTGACATCTTTTGGCCTCCAAAAATCTGTTTCATCAATTTACATCCTAAGACAAGAAATTGGTGCACAGCTATGAACAGCGTATTAACAATATCTCAAACAACACATCTGCTTCACTGCAATGCCTAAAACACCACATGCATGTAATCTACATCCACTAACCATCCAGCCTCGACTTCTCCAGCTCTTTATGCGTGGCTTTCAGTTCAGCCATGAATTCTGCCTGCATGTTGTCCATCCTGTTCTTGTAGTCAGTCTCCAGCTCCTCTCTCAGAGACTGTAACTCCTGCTGGTGCTGCCTCTCTCTATGTTCCCACTCTTCTTTCTCCTGAATGCAGAAAACACAGTGCTGGGGTAGCACTAGCACTTTTTTTCACTTAGCCAAATCACCACATTTTTGTCAATTTGTTATCAAAATGGTTATAAGTTGACTAAAACAAGTCAAATCAAGCCCTTTTTCTTTAGCCAATTTAAGTAAGTTTTAGCATTTGGCTAAATTGGCGAGTGTAAGCGCTACCCCAGATAACATACTGTGTATTATCTTGACATAGTATTATCAATAGCCCATATGATAACTATTTTACTCCACCATTAGATTACTTAATACTAGAGTTTCTGGCTCATGGATGTCTTTGCCATAATAGAAACTGTCTCCTTTGTTAAGTGTGTTGTTATTGATGATTTTAATAATAATACTGATAGTTAAAAAAATGACCATGGTTGGTAAATGATAATAACAGTGATGTGCATATTGATGTGCAGATAAACTCAAAATTTTGATCAAATCTACGGACTAAATCAAATACAGTCTGCTGCATTAGACAATCACCCAAGGCAAGTTTCTGCCTAAAGAAGCACTGGGTTAGTAAAATGTTTTCATTATGTACAACAGTTACCCACTTTCAGAGAGCACCTAATGCAAAAGAATAAAGATAATATAAATGAGCTGGTGTACAAATTATGATCTTTACCTTCATTGAGAATCCTTTTAGAGCATTTCTCTCCTCCTGAAGCTGAGATTCAGTCAGTCTCAGCCTCTCTCTGATCTCACTAAGTTCTCTCTCCAGCACCCCATTGGTGAGATTCTGCTGCTGAGCCAATTGTGACGATTGCGTTTGTTGAGACAGATATTGCTGTGGTTGAGATTGTGCTGGTTGTGACAGGCCAAACTGGCTGACCTGCTCAGTGTGTTTCCTGTACAGGTGAGACTGGAGGAAGGTGGGGTTGATGAAGGCCTTCACACAGTATGGGCACTGTAAAAATATTAAGAATTATGAAAACGTTTAAGTCTACCAGCTGTTTTGGGGAACCAGCATATTCCAATCTACTGGACCACATCAAAAACAGAGACCATTAAGTGATAAAATTTCCAAATTTTCAAATTAATGTTCTTATGGGCATCATACAGCCATTTTCAGTCACTCAGTACCTTATTATAGCTGCCTGCTCCTGACTGCAGCATCTGTTGCTGGGCAGCCAGCAGTTTCTTCCTCTTGTGACTTTCTTTCTTCACCTCAACCAGCTCCTTCTTCTGCTTCTCCACCTCCTTTTTGGTCTCATCGTGTTCCTGTATCAAGTTGAAAACATAAACTTAGAACCTCTTCATATTGAGGAAAATACATATTAACTCAACAACTGGCTCACTTTGAGAGGTTAACAACTTAACAGCCTTGCTTTTACATAAAAGATTTACCTAAGAAGAGCTCCCGCACTTGAGACAAGAAGTCTATTCATTTATAAACTTCAGGAAGTGCATGAACATGTATAGAAATTGTGAAAGAGAGTACAGCCTCTACATATTGCATTGAAGATTTCTGTACTAGTAAGGTTCATTATATCAAATTATTTAATTCAAAAATGTTTGGCATTTTTTCATGTGTACTTCATAAGGGAAAATAAATAAATAAACAAATAAATAAATAAACACAACAAGACCCTTCTCTCACCTCTACGGCTTTGCGCAGTTTTTCTTCAAGAGTTGCCACACAATCAGAAAGATAATCTTGTGAATGCTACGAAAATATAAAATAAACATTCCGTGAAGACACTAAATAAGAATATTAACCACTGCATTATCTCAAGATAAACATGTATTCTGACAGGACAACAACACTGCAAATTTACAAAAGAGAAGTTATTCTTAAACACATAAGTGAGAATTTCTTTCCTTGAATCTTCCTCTTCACCTACCAATAAGTACTCTATTGTTAGCTGGGCAAGTTTGAAAAGCTTGATGAAATTGGCATCTATCAAACGGATATCCTGGAATTGGAAAATGACAAAATATTACTGCTAAAATATACATCAAAGATTTATTATATACATAACAATACATAAGTGTGGGTAAAAAGAATGCATTATACCATTTCCATTACGTTAAAATCTTAAATCAACACAGTTTATTCAGCTATCTCACATTTTAAACACATTTTTCTGGACTGAATCTGTACAGTGTAATCTTAGGCACTGTTATCTTTCATCTTTTTTCAATTTTTTTATCTTGAAACCTTACCACCTCGGACTCTATGTTACAAAATGTGATGTTCATGATGTTTTCCTGAAGGGCAGTGAAGTCCAGTTCTCTTGAAATTCTGTCCACATCCAGGGCAGCTGAAAGTGAAAGTGAAGGTACACTGACTGTCAAGTAGACCATTTAGTTAAGCGACAAACTAACAAGCCAATAAACAGAAAAGAACCTGTGGCAAAAAAGGACTTGTTTTGCAGACTGTTATAAGCAGATTAAATCCATGACCTCCAGACCTACCTGGCTGAGCTGTAGGTACAGACACATGAAATTGCAGCCTACAAATTACTAAAGTTAGACATTGAACTTAAGTTAACCAAGGACCATCCTGTTACTTTTGTTCTAAACTGTTAAAAACCTACATTGTGTTTTCCTCCTTACTTATTCCAGGAAATAAAACATTTGCATTTTCTTTATAAATACACAACAGTAGACTAATAGTGTGAATATTACAATCAAAATATTATAAAAAATATTTTTCCATCCCTAAAGATCAAATCCAAAACCAATGAATGAGGCCTGCACATTTGTAACCATAGTTAAAATTTATTTTTAAAAAGTTCCATCCTCACAAATTCCTTAAACTCTTAAAAACGTGGCTCACCAACTCTCCTCCAATCCACCCTCTCAAACCTCTTCCTGAATGTCAAGTTTCTTCCATTGCCGCTGTTCACATACCCCCCTCCCTGCACTGGCCCATTGCTATACGGTCCATTCATGTGGGGGCTGTAAGGGATCCTCTGATCTTGTGCTGTTAAAGATGCCATCATCTGGAATATAAGGCTGTAATACTAGTACTTCAAAGACAAGACCTTTGTGTATTAAAAAGAAACATAAAATTGCATTTTAAATATTTGTCCTCTTGGTGTCCCAAATTAGCTTCCTTTTTTCATTCAAATGCATTCCATAGGCTTCTTTTCTTAATTGAAACAGAATTTAATGTTATCAATTGTGCTTTTGTGTTCAAATGAACCCAAATTTCATTTAGATAAATATATTGCACCTCCAAACAATCTCGATTGCAAATCATAAATTGGATTTCATGAGTCATATTTCTTAAAATCTTAAAATCTCAAGTTGATACCGTGATACGCAATCGCTGCAGTGGCACCTGCACGCCCCTATTTTCATGCAATTAAATCTTGATTCAGACTCAGTGATGTCTTAATCAGAAGTGTAAGGCAAACGATATGATAATTGAGAGAGAGAAAGAGAGAGAAAAAAAGAGAGATCATTCAGGAAATTAAAGCAAACAAACTTACCAAATATTGGCATTGACTTTCATTCAAAAAGCACTTAATCCCATGAAATACTTGTTGATCATTATCAGCTTGTCAAAATATTCGCCACCATGTTTGTTTCTGTTGGAGACCTCGCTTTCACATTCAAGACAGCCTTGCAATTTTATGGATTAACCAAACAAAAAAGCAGCGTATTTGGATCTTAGTCCAGACCAATAACCATAAATCAAAAAGGGCATAAAGCTTGCGTGTTGGGAATATGATATTAGGTGGTGTTTAGAACATCATTTAACCAAGACACACTACGTGTACAAAATTGACCCGGAAGTAATTCCTTCAACCAATCAAATTACCCCACGCTGACCAACATCTTGGTACATTAGCAGAAGCCGTGTGTGTAGCAGCGGCACCAGCAAAATGCGAGAGATTACATCAATATCGCACCTTTTTAGGTCATTTTCTATATTTTATCTAGCTCTGGATTTTCATATATACGGTGAGTAAAATTTTGATTATTTTATATCGACCGTGTACCTTCAGAACTTGTCACTACCACGTTCACAGTGCCAGTCACTTGTCATTTATTTGGCTGTGGTGCTACCCAACCTAACTTAGTGGAGAATATCTTTCTAGTGACTTATAACGAAATTATGTTGAAGGAGCAGAGGTAGATTTTTTCGCTAATGCCAATAGTATTTAAAAATGAACCAATAATGTCATGCCACTGTAACAACCCACATTTACACAGCCCAAGTTATAGTCTACCAGTAAATTACCAGGAAAACTACTGGTAGCAATTACTAGTAAATTAATTATTAAAACTATAAAATGTCCACTTATCTGAATTTTTCTGCAAAGTTACTGTGAAAAAATAGTGTAATACAAAATGTACAGAAAATAGTGGGCACTAAGTAGTAGAGAATGTCATATGGCAGGGGTGTTACATGTACCAGTGGTACTTATCTCCACTTCCCTGCTCTTTCTCTCTCTCTCTCTCTCTCTCTCTCTCTCTCTCTCTCTCTCATTTTCCAAGTTTTGGTCTATTGTTACTGTCTGTTGTCACTTAATTTCAGAAGGTGAAATTGGAAGATTAAATGTCTGTTGGAATCACATAGTCACTTGAGAGTGTTGTGAATCGAAATATCAGCCAAAATATCAGCTGAGTTTAATTTTGGTCAATATTTTATCTGTTCATGGTTAATTGATTTAAGCTAAAAAATCAATTATTTGAAGTACATTTTTTTCAACAGAAGCATTTTTGTTAATTTTGCCATATCCATCGTCTTTCCGCCAGGTATATTTGGTAATAATGATGTAGAGCGCCACCTGGAGATGGGGAAGAAGTTTCTAGCTGCGGGACAGCTTGTAGATGCTTTGACACATTTTAACGCAGCTATAGGTAAGTTATCTTGTCACACCCTGTTTGTTTTCCAGACACATTTTAAATCACCTTGCTTGTTAACGATCTACATCTCATTTCTTGTTCACAAACATTTTTTTTTTTCAAATTCAATATCAATATCATCAGGCCACTGAACTATTTCTCCCTACTTATTTTTTACAGCCCAAAATCATGTCAGATAATCAGTCTTATAAATGTGATGTCACTTTCTATTATTTCAGATGGGGATCCCAGTAATTACTTGGTGTATTTTAGAAGAGCCACAGTTTATTTGGCTTTAGGAAAATCAAAGTCCGCTCTTCCAGATCTAAACAAAGTTTTAGAGTTGGATCCAAAGTTCCAGGCAGTAAGTATTAAATAATTAATTGTTTAAGTTAAAAATTTATTAACATGATCTAAATAAGTTAATGAACTTTCAAGGATCATTTACAATGATTTGGACAGTTTTAATTTGATTTCATTATTCCTAGCATCAGATTTCAGATTTTTTCGTATGTTTTTCCACAGTTTTACTTACAGAACATTGTAGAACAGCTTCACTAGCTATGTATTGTTTTGATCATTACAGAACATTGTTTGAGGACATTTAATGATTTACATAAGTTCAAATTTAATGCAATGAGACAGTGATAGTAGAACCATAGATTTTTCAAGAAATTTAAAAGCTGAACCATTTTTATAGGCCAGGCTGCAGAGGGGGAATGTTTTACTAAAACAAGGGAAGCTCTCTGAAGCGGAGGAAGATTACCTGGCTGTGGTGAGTGTCTTCTTTTAGATGAAGAAATTGTTCACTTAAGATCAAAAAATATAGCAAAGTGCTTTATGATATTTTAGGTGAGCCAGAATACCAGTTATGAGGATAGAGTAATGAATAATGCAGTTTTATTATTATTATTATTATTATTATTATTATTATTATTATTATTATTATTATTATAAGCACTGATCAGTTTTGATGAAATTATGGGAAAGCTGTGGAAAAGATAAATTCTCTTTGTCTAGAAAATTGAGCTAATGATGATGACATGGAGTAAGCAAAAATAATTCACAATAATATTTCATTAAGTTTTGATTCTATTAAAAAAATTATGGTCAAAGAAATAAAGTAACTTTTAAAAATTAGAGTTGGAAGATGTTGTTCATTTTAAATATAAAGTCATGATGAATGTGATGTTCTTCTTTCAGCTTGAAGTAGAAACCAGCAATGCCGAGGCACAAAAACAGCTCCAGTTGTTGGAGCCTCAGAGAGAAAACATCAGACTAGCCAAGGAATACTATGAACAACATGACTTCCAGGCAGCTATTGACGCTGTGTCACTGGCAATAGATGTAAGAGAAACTGTGTGTGTGTGTGTGTGTGTGTGTGTGTGTGTGTG